GTCTGAAGCAACAGTCGCCGGCCGACAGTGGCCGAGGGGCCTGAAAATCCCCTGCTTTGACCCACCTGGGAGACCTCCAAAATCCTCCAGGATTCTTGGGCCCTCAGGCCTTGTTCTTGGATTTGATATCCAGGAAGCCAAGCAAAAACACCGCATCTTCCCCAGTTCTGGGGGATTCACCCATAAGCAAAACCAGGATGAGTCAGCATATGTCAGCATGACCCAGCACGACCTATTTGCCTCGACCCTGTGAGTCACTGGGTGCTCCGAACTTGGGATGCTCACAGCTCAGGTGAAAGTTGTGGCCTGGGAACCCAGACGGCTTGGCGGGGTGAGAGCTGCCACCAGTCGTCAGAGTGGCAATTGAAACTCAGCAGGTCAGTCGTCCAACCTCTTTTACTGCTTTTTGTCTTGTCAGTCTTGTGGGAGCGGAAAAATCAGATCATACATGATCATACTCTGCTTAGAGAGCCGAATGTCATACAAGAACCTGAGCAGTTGATCGCAGTGATCCTAGACCTGCTTGTCCAACACCTTGACCTCAATCACAGATCAACATGTTTTGAAGGTTAAGACTACTACGAGTCAAGAGGCAACTCATGAGGAAATGAATCTCAGCTAAGTGTAGATCAACAACGCGGGGCCAAACGTCTCCCAACGCACAAAAAAAAAGCAAGGTGCAGTTCAGAAACAAAGAGATGCTTGTTCGCAAGTGTGGGCTGATTATATAAACATGGTGTAACCCCCACAAACAGGATGGATCCACCAAACCCTCTCGTGGCACTCCTGGGTGCATTTGCTTATACTTGGAGGGTGTTTGAAGGATCAGTAACGAAAATGCATTCTTGGAAGGGAAATCGGTGTTTGGAACGAACTACTCCTGTTCACGCCGACCGTCGTCTTCCAACCCGTTCTCTTCTCCACTCATCCTTCGGTTTCGAACTCAAGAGCGTCATGACGAGCAGTGAAGCTTCGGCCATGACCTGCGCCGTCGGACAGACCCGCGCCCGGTTGCGCCCAAACGGCGATCGCCCCACCGAGGGGAGTCGAATCCATGGCCTCTTAGGGCTCCTTGCTGTACCCTAGAGACTGCCCCAAGATCAGGTTGAAAGTAGGGCCTGGAGCAAACGAACATGCATGAAATAGACATAAGAAAAAATCATAAAGCGAACCAAACTGTGAGGTGATGTGAAAAAGTGATGGCCTCTATATTCTAATGGAAGGGAAATGACTAAAACAAGCAACGCGTTGGTCTTCTCTGGGTCTTTGACCCACAATTTTCCGGAGAACAAGTGGGTTTCCTTGGATGTACCGCAAAGGCAGCCACTCTATGCGAATCTCTTTGTCTCGACATCGTGATCGGTCTCAACTCTCAACCATGGCAGAAGATGGTACACTCCGATTCACTAACATAGAAATGGAAATAGATTTAAATAGAAAAGCTTCGTGGAAAGAAAAAGGCCCTCTTTTCACGGCGATCCAAGGACCCTTCGGACCCTTCGGATCGTGGGTCTTTTCCTATCGTCTCGACACCTTCGGAGCGGCACCGTGCCACTGCAAGGAGGGGAGGGTTCCCAGAAGCGAAGGAATAGAAGGAACACACAGCTCGTCCATCAGCATCTTTGGAAAGCGCTTTTTTCAAGTGCCACAGAACCGTCTCCTCATCCAGAAAATGACGGCCTGCTGGACCAACCCGACTCCATCAGACTGTTGAAACATCAGGAATCCCCACTTGACAAGCCTGTCGCCCAGTCGCCTAGCACTTTCGACCTGGGGTCACCTTCCTGCTGTTCTTGCGTGGGCTTCCATTGGAGACTCGGATAGACTATTGCAGCCCGGGACTGTTTCAAACACCAAATTCGAGAGAACTTGGAACCAAATCCATCCGAAACGTCATCGGACTCAAAGGCCCCATGGCCTCATTGGTGAAGTGAACGCTCTGCTTGCCAGTAATCTTCGTGGCCACACCTGAGCTGGAGCGGGTCAACGTGGGAAGGGTGTGTCCACACTGGAGGTTCGCCTAAAAGCTTTGGTGACTGACAAAAGTTGAACAATGCGTGCGCCAAAGCGACGTCACTTGAAAGATTGGACTGTCACTGTCACTATACAAGACATGTGCTTTGGGAGGATTCAACCCAAACACTCCCACACTTTTGATATGAAAGGACTGGACCAGGGTTTTTAAGTCCATGCCCACTTTCAGTTTACCAGGTGTCCAAAGAGCATGTTCTTAATCTTAGGAGTTTCAAAGCTCCTGATATGTGTTTCAAAATGTTTCAAATATGTTCAAACATGTTCAAACCAAAAACACTAGCTATAGGACAATGAATTGCATGTAATACCTCATTCGGATCCGTGGCCACACCACCGACCAATGGCCGGTCACACCGGTCTGAGGCTCCGTGCCCAAGGTGTCCTCGTGGATGAGCAACGAGGCCTCCGGCTGCCGAAGTATTTGGGGGGCAGTTGCACCAAGTGAAGCGAAACATCCAAACCTTGGGGCGTCTAGTTCCGGTCAAGAGGTGAAAGTGGTGTCCATTTTTGAGAGGGTCGCGACCCGGAAGTCCCACCACTCCGCCACAAGGTGACGAGAAGTGGGGCAGTTGGATCTTCAAAGGCTCGATGTGTTTCACACCGTGCGAAGAGTTCGGTCACAAGCAACATCCATGTACTCATCCATGTCCAGGAGAAGACTCTCGTGTGACCTAGCTTCAGCTAGCGGCTAGCTAGCTACATCTTGGGAGTGACATCACGAGCCTAAGGTGATCAGGAAGCCTTTCATGGACCATTTATACTAAATCTTCGCTGTCTCTACGTCGGCCTCCGCCACCTGCAGTCGATCACTGAAAAGGGATCTGCATGCATTCAACCAGTAATTGTCAGACCCCAGTGGCCCAGTGCTCCTCCAAAAAAAGACTCAAAAGATGCTTGAGAAGTATAACTTTGGGTGCACTTTTCGTGCCCAGCTTCCAAAGAATGGGACAACACTACTCTCCTTTTCAGCACGACACTCCGACTCCACCCACCCGCCCACATCGAACGGTTCCCCGTTCGCACATGATCCACATGCTCCGGTCTTCTCGACTGGTGTCCATCTCCCATCATAAGCCCAGAGTTCAAATCACTATGATTACTCCAGAGTTAATCAGTAATTAGGGCCTTATGCAACTATTTGACGAGTCCAAGAGTCCTGTGTGAATATATTGTACATCAAGTGTATATATATATGTCGTGACCAATATGCCGACGATCACTATCTTGATATGCCCAGGGTCACACCAAGAGATCCATCCCCCTTCTTCCAAAAGGACCCAGCAGTGTTCCCAGTCACGACCTCTCCGGGAGGTCGTTTGACCCAGACCGACCCACCCATCGTCCCGCGCCAGCTCAGGCGTCACGGCCAAGGACTGCAAGTCCTTCAAGGAGGCCTTGGGGACACGTCCGGTCCGGTGGCTCGAAAGGGTCGGGAAGCGTTTTCGGGGCGGTTTCCGGAGAGGCGGTTTCGGTGGTCTAAGCGGGTCCCACGCTAATGCTGCTGGACCTGGTACAGGTCCTTGTAGGGTCTCGTCCTTGTGGTTCCCTGTGAATGCACTGTACTCATTCCTTGAAAGAAAGGTGTATCTGTATATATATAGAACATGCTGAGTTTTTGATAGGCCAAACATCCGCTAAAAGGCGCCAGGCAACCTAAGGCAACGGATTTCTCCGCTGGTTTAGATATCTCAGCGATGTCCATGGTGGATTCAGTTCATCGATAACATGGAAGTACCCCATTCAAAAGCATCAGTATGGAGTCTGTGCCTATCTGGTTGACTGCCTGGCCAGGCTCTACAAGAAGCACGTTACCCTTGCTCTCCAGAATTGTAGAAGCACAGAGATTCGCCTCATGCACAGCACGAACATTGTGTCTGCCATTTAAGGAGCCTTGATTGGATTGTGTTCCACCATCCCTGCCAATAGGAGCAAAAGTGCACGCTCGCTCTCTCACTCTCTCTCTCTCTCTGTCTCTCTATATATATATGTATATGTTCAATCTGGGTCTACAATAGTATTGCATTAATCTATTCCAAATATAGCTGTTACGAGTAATTACCTCACTCAAAAACTGATCACCCCCCAAAAAAACACTGGTAGATGGAAAACATAATTAACCACCTGCACATCCCTGTCCTTTTTGCAGATGGGGTCACACCCATATGGAGCGGCCCTTCCTGAGCTACCGAAAACCAGGGTTCCCGGCCAGCTGCTCAGCAGGGCTCCCCGAAAACCTGAAAAGCTGTGCGATTGAAGATGTCGAAACACGTGGGAACCCCTCACCGAGTGAATGGGTGGTTTCTGTTGAGACACACTCACCATCTTTCCGTGCGGTTAATTAAGGGGGCCAAAGAATAAACCGCCCCTGGCAAAACTTTAGAGCTGGGCGTCCGTCTGTTGTCAATACAAAAACATACTACTGTATCGTCTCTGTTCGGGTGATGAATCACCTGAGAGCTGTCTCTTCGACATGGCCAAATTGTATCTTTCCCTGCAGGGTGAGTAAGACATGGACCCTAACAAACCTAGCAATGGAATGTCTACTGAGGTTCCACAGAGAATCACATCTAGAGTTCCTTATGAATACGGAACATGTTGGTCACCATCTGCTGGCGCCACTACCTCAGATCAGTGTTTTAGGACGTTGACCCCAAAGAATCCTTGGTTGACAAACATATTCTCAAAAGAAGAAACTAGATATTAAGTTATATACGTACATAAAAGTTCTTCACTGATAGACAAATATGGAAAACATACTCCAAACGTTAATACAACTTGGTGTTTGTGAACCTGCACAGCTCCTGCGGCAATCAGCATGTTAAAACATCTCACGTCAAAACAGTGTCCCTGACTTGTCCGGGTACAACGGACAAGTGATTCACCTTAGCCGCCGTAGCCCAAACGAAACATGTGGAAACCATGTTCTTCTCCCACCCATTCCACCCGCCAACCCCGCCAATCGGACTTTCCCTCACTGGCGGCCTTGCACACCTATCACTGTACAACTGTCGGTGTTCGGCTCTTGCACACCCCGCGATAGCGTCTTGGACGCAGGTCCTGTTGCATCCCATTTCAAAACATGGCAAAACCGTAGTTGAGGCTCAAGTCAGGCGTTTCGAGACGCGGATGTTTCTGGGGGTTCGAGGGATTACTAATCCACCTGGAAGGCGTGTACGCCTCACATCACCCGTCCATGAGCTCCGAGCAGCCAGCAGCTACCCGCATGCGACAGGCGTCTTGAATTAATGCTCTGGCCGGCCTCTCATGGATGGTGGACACAATCACCAGACTGGAGCGTTCCACTTCAGCGATGGGGTTTGTGTTCTCCTGAAGGCGTTCACGACGGTGGGGTTCGCGGGTCCCACCGACGGTTTTGGGGCGCGGTCGCAGCCTGGTCGCCCAAAACCCAAGGACCTCGAGCTTTCAGATTTGCCTCAAAGTTGGGAAAATCTTGGAGGAACATGTATGGGATCCTTTTTTTCATGAACATCATCTCATTTGGAGGAGAATTGATGAAAATGCCCTGTCACTGCAGCGGGGACCACCTCAGTGGAGTTTTGCCAGTGGAATTTTGCTCCTTCTAAGTAGCTCACCTACGTTAGCAATCAGAATGAACACATACTGTGTAGTGCAGTCGCAGAGTTCATGTTGTCATCCAAGAAATCATATGTGACACATCTCCTCATACAAATGCTCATAGCAAATCGGCCAAACCTCTATCAGACTCTATCAGTCCTCCCCAAATACGTTCATCCGTTTTGTCCAAATTAATGACGCTGATCATGGTCATACCGTTTCGCTCCTGAATCACAGTTTCCATGACGGTCTTCTCGAAGATCTGTGTGGCGGCCACCACAATGTGCATCTCTGCATGGCTCAGAGGCAGCGCGCCCGAGCGTGTCAAGGCATCAAGGAGGTCAAAGGCACTGTCCTTCTCCTCAGATACATTGAATCCATTGATGTCATTGCTAATTGCTATTAGGTTGGAGGCCATCGCTCTTGGGTTCGAGGCCATCACTACTAGAATGGAGGCCATCGCTCTGAGGTTGAATCCATTGATGTCCACGAGACTCAAAAAGGGACTCAACGGGAGTCAGGTCATGGTGTGGAGAAACATGCAATGCTTCAGACTGAAGGAGCCCCAAAAGTACAGTCGTTTGTTCAATAAGCCATTAGGCTGGACTTCCAAGAAGATGGGGGGTCTCCAGAAGGAGCGTTGTAACACCCTTTGCGCTACATCCTCCAGAAGTGAATCCTCCTTTCTACGATCTCTTCAATCTGCCACAGACCGACCTGACTGCGCCAATCGGAGCCCTGCCGATCCATGGATGATCAGCCAAGCCCGCGGTGCGCTCCGATCGCCAAGGACGAAAGATGTTGGACCCTGAAAAGTCCAAGGAAGATCTCCGTTTAAAACTGAGTTTCCAAAAACGGACGATGCTTTTCTTGAGCCATGAACAGCGTTTGTTGGTGCTAAGTGGTGTGTGTCACACCTAGGATCACATCAAGTGAAAATGCAGGGATTCACACTCCCCCTGATGGTTGTACCATCATTCAAACACGCGTCAGCACCAGGTTTTTTCATCCAGTGCTGCGCAGAAACTCAAAGCTTCCGTCCGACTCACAGTCCTCGTCTTGTCGTTCACCATCACGGTGAGGATGTTGTTGAACTGCCGTCTCAATTCCAAGCCAAATTGGCCATTGGTCAGCTTCGGGAGGCACGTGTTCGCTTGAATTGGCCGCTTGGGACGTCCCTTCCGTCACCTGGCCGGAGTTGTTTCCGCTCTCCCCCCGATGCTCACGTCCTTGGAGCCTTAGCTCATAGCCCGTCTTCGTGCCACCCTCGATGGACTCAATGTCACAAGCACTGATGCCCCTTCCACCGTAGGTGACTTCCTCGCCTTCTATCGTCTCTGAACCTTGTAAGGCCTTTCGACCTCGTTGCACTGCTCTTGACCTTCCTGAAATGGAGCCGCCATAGCCCCCGTCTGCGGCCACCGATCCCGGTGGAGGAAGTGGTCCCGGCCTGACATCACGTCGGTCGAGATTTCCTGCTCTTCCTTCTGGGAGGGCCTCAAACTTCACGTAGAAGAAAGTGTAGCCACACCATTCATGAAGCCCTTCCACATCTGAGCCCCTGTTTTCGATCCAGTCATCGGTGATGACCACTCGCTTCCAAACTTCTCGCGGATTTCCCCGCGAAAAAGCCACCGTGACTCTGGTCGCCGAGAGTCTTGCTATCGACATTGGGGTTCCACGATGTAATGGATGGAAGGTTCGCACTCGGGACTTCTTCAGCACCCTGACCCACCATTCACCACCACCGAGGCCCACACCAAGACATTCCCACCTGTCTGTTCCAGTAGGCGGCGTACTAAACCTCATCAGCTCCCATGGAAGATCCGTGCCAAGTCCCACATGGGTGATTGGTGCCCTCAAAGCACTCACCCGCGGAAGCTGCCGAATCCATGGCTCGCACGCGGATGCACCGCCCGGGGAGCCCTTTGGGCTAAAGTCGCGACCGGGTTTGGAGACAGGTTCATTTTCCCTTGTCTCTTCTTGACATTTTCTTCTTTCGACATTGCCCTCTTTGGACGCCCCTGTCCGAGCAAATGCCGGTTCACCCTCTCTTTTGGGGTCATCTCCACCCTTCCTACCCATCAGCCAAGCTACACTTGAAGCTACCGCTGCCATGGTCACACTTTTGGCAACCTTGGCAACCGCATTGACTGGCTGCCAACATGAAATGCCTATCAGCCCGCTCAGAAGCCCGATCAGCCTCTTGACCTGCACACAGTCCTCCGCTTCCTTCGCCTGGGTGGCTCCAGCACACAAGCCAGTGAACTCCCGGAACCTCCTCCACGAAGGCGGACTGACGATGGACTTTGTCAATAGGTCCACCGACAACGATGCTCCCGGCTCGTGACGTGCCTGCCAGCATCCCGTGCGGATTCTCTCCCGCAACACAAAGCTTCGCAGCCTAAGATGTCTCGTCCGCCATGGGCCATCCGGCGACTGCAAAATGCGGATGCCAGACTGCGAGTCACCATGTAGGACGCAGTCCATGACCTGATTCGCATCACCACTTTCCAAAATCGCAACGATTGAGGCGCACGACTCACCCATGGTTAAGGCATCAGAATACCCCATGAGCTCTGCTTCTGAGCTAGATAGGGTGCCAAAGGGCTGCTGTTTGCTTTCCCACTGTATAGGAGCACCTGAGTACATGGCTATAAGGCCTTGGTGACCGCGAGATCCAGGGGGGCCGAATGAAGCATCCGAATACATGTGAATGCCCTTGCTCTCTTCCCACTGGGGTTCATCAGGTGCAGCTTCATACAACAGGCCCAAACCCATGGTGCTTTGCAAGAACCCCAGGACCTGCGCTCCATATCGTTGGACTCGACATGGACAATGTGTCACCTGCCTCCCCATCCACGACACGGCGAAGGAGATGTCTGGCCTCGACCTCACTGCCAGCCACAACAACTCTCCAACCAAGGTTTGCGCCCTTCGGACCTCTGCAACCTCAGGATTCGTCTCCTCAGTCTCATCCAAGACACCTGGCAGCGGGCTTTGAGCTGACTTGACATCAGGATATCTGGCCAAAAGATCTCGTAGGTATGACTCCTGATGCAAACGAAGTCCCCTCTTCTCCTGGGCAATCTCAAAGCCACAAAACCTCAAGCTGCTTTCAGGCGTCAGCCACTCCGGTGTCGAGCATTTCCACTGTTGCTGGAACCGAGCGATGGTCGATCGAGTCACTCTTTCATCACCAGTCACCAGGATATCATCGACGTACACAGCGACAAATCCGTACACCTTGTCGGGCAACCTTGACTTGGATGGATCATCGAGGATCACCTTCCACAAGTTGGGCTCTTGAGTGCGAGCCAGCTTCCAGTTTTCACCTTCATCAGTCCAGCGGAGCTTGGCCATCTCTTCGTCCCTGAATCTCGCCCAGTTGAGAGGCGCCTCCTGGAGACCGTAGAGCGAGTTTCTGACCTCCCAGATTTCGTCAGCAGCGCACACCTTTGCTTCCACCAGCACCCGGGGAGGACGCATAATGAGCAGCCTCTGCTGTGCATCTCTTCTTGGAGCTAGCAAGAACGCTGTCTTCACGTCCAGACTCGCTACGGACCATTTCTCCAGGGCACTCTTCCTGAGTAAAGCTCGCAAAACTGTCGCGTCCGCCCCTCCTGCATATAGTTCAAAGGGTGAAGAGGTCGATGATGCTTCCAATGGACTGACAGCCTTCGTCTCCACCTGGGACTTTGTGAGATGGTTGCCACAAATGACCACCCTTGCCCTGTGCCGTCCATGAGGACTCTTGACCGTAGGGACCAGCATCGCTGGCGCTTCTTCCCGCCAGGGATATCTCGGATCCTTCTTCAAAGCCTCCTCTGTGGTTGGAACGATCGCTCCGGTAGTAGTGGACAGAGAGACATACTCATCCTTGAAGGGTTCGACCCACTTGTGCAACTCCCTTCGCACCTGGGCCAGCGACACCGTGTAGGTCTGAAGGACCAGCGAAGGCTTCTGCTCTTCCCCTTCTCCTGAACCCCCCGCCGCCTGCAGCGCCGCCATCCTCCAACTCTCCAGGGCTCCATGTTGGCGTTGAAGACACTCCTCCCGGACCATCAACTGTTCTTCCAGGACTTGAAGCCATCCTCCATGTTCGCTGCCCTGCTGTTCTCCCACCGCCACCTGATTCAACTGATCCAGCCACATTCTTTTCAACTGCCAGTGGCTACGAACTTCTTCCTCATGCCACTGTACTGCCTGAGTCCATGAACAGGCTTGCAAATCCAAAGCTTCCTCCCCAGGAACCTGCAGCCCATCCTGCTCCTTCGGCAGATCTCCTTCACAAAATCGACATCCAGCTCCTCGATGTTCCCCCAGTTGCCAAAGATCGCACTCGAGGCACTTCACCATACCTTCTGCCGACCCTCCACCGCTTCCGTTGCTTTCGACCTGCAGGCCAGCTCCTGGATCTCGATCTGTCCCCCCCCCTGTCCTGAAGTTGGACAACGCGGACAGGGCTGGTTGTTGTGCAGGCTGCACCTCCTCATACATGTGTGAGATCACGTCCTGCAATGGGTGAGGATCCAAACTTTGTTTTCCAGTCACTCTCCTGCGAACGGTGTCTGCATCAATCTCCTGGAGCTCGAGAGCCGCTTGGTCCGCTTCTGGAGATGGCTGTAGAGCCGTTCGAACGTGTTGAACACGACCTTGATGGCGAACCACCCACCCGTTTGTCATCAGTGGGCTTGGACCAACCAGCTGCATAGAGATGAACGGGTTGATCAACTGACCAGCCTTGTGCCATCTCTTCGTGCGAACTGCCACCTTCGACCCAAACCGTAGCATTGGTTGCACCGGAACCCCTAGTCTACTGAGCTGCTGTCTGCATCTCTCCTCTGCCGCATGGCGAATCGCTCCTGGCCACAGTTCTGGTTCCACTTGTGCCTGATGGATGATCAGCCTCATGCGTCTCTTAACTTGTTGCACTTCTGCCTCTGCACGGCCATTGGCCTGTGGATCGTCGCCCTGCGTGAAGGTCTGTACCAGGTGTCTGTGGCCGCACCAATTTGACACCCTCCTCGACAGCATGCCCTTCTCCCGGTCGCTATGTAGTCTCATCACATTGATGCCCAGACACCTGATCCTCGCATAGAGTCGGGACAGGCCTCCCAGGAGCGAATCCACACCTCTGTCTTCCATCACCTCCACCATTGTAATGTTCTGCAGCTGATGGGGCCTCCGAAGCTCATCGATCTCCTCCCGACCAATCACCTGCTCCTCACCCTCCTCAACCAACTGCTGATCTTCTAACTCTGGTGGATCTTGACGGCCATCACGTTCTAGGTTTTCCTCCTCGAGGTCCTCTTGATCCAAAGATGGCACATCCCTCACCTGCTCCTCAGTGAGATCCTCTTCTTCAGCCGGTTCCCCCGGGAGATGGTCCGGCACCGGCAACGGCACCGTTCCCAACAAAGCGTACTTGGCCATTCTTCCAGTTGCAGGATCCTTCCCCACCGGGAATGGTCCAATGATGTCCACCGCCAAGGTGTACGCAGAAGACGCTGTCCTGGATCTCCGATGTGGATTTTGCGTGCCCATTGCTTCCAGACAGGTTCTGCAGTCCCGCCTGAAGGGCATGTGCTGCATCCGCACGTGTCGCCGCCATTGGTCCACATCCAATCGCGCCACCTTGCAGTTCTCATCCTCCTCAAGCATACTCCTCAATGCCAGCTGGATAGCCTTGACAAAGCCCGGTGACCATTCTGACCAGCTTCTCGATGCTGCCATCCTCTGACTCAAATCCCCTCCGACTGGGTTGGTGTTTCCTCCTCCTTGGCATAGTTCCAGCTGCTCCAGCATGGGCAAGTTCGACAACACCCCCGTCGGCTTCCTCCGTGGATGACCTGTCGCTCCCTGGTCGAAGTTGATCATCCTCATAGTCTCATCTTCCTCCAACAGCTGTTGCAGTTGAGGCCACTCAAAATAAGATGGATTCTGCCGATCCTCCTCCGACTCCAAATAGGATGCTGGGTCCCTTGGCGACTCCAGCAAGAAGCCTGTCAATCGGCCCATCTGCTGTCCCTGTTTGGCCAGCTTCCAAAGTGCAACCTGCTTGAGAACCAGCGTGGTGTCGTTCGCGACCATCTGAGCCTCCTTAGGAGTTAGATCCTCCAACCCCCACCTCAGATCACCTCTTGCTCTGACTTTGCGAGGTCCAGGTGGCCCACGATTCCGCAACCTGCTGACTGTTCTGCATGGAGGACCTCCCAAAACTGCCTTGATTCGGCCCTGCTTGGCCAACCAGCACAAATATCCCCACACTTGAGGCGAGTGGAGATCATACCTCGACCCAAGGAGCGGGTCCACGAACAGCCAGGTGTACCCAGAGGGCAGCGAGTCCTTCCACCTCTTCACATTGGTGCCGGAGAACAGGTGCACAATGATTCCCTTTGAAGTCTGATGCATTCTCCTCTGCCTCCGGTTCCATGGAAGATCATCTCCCGCCGGACACCATGACTGGCCCTTCATGAACTCCAACAGCTCCCCCGGGACCCCAGGGATGTTCTCCTCCCACCACTGAGCATCCTCAGCCGTGATGCTGTAGTGCCCCCTTTCCAGCTCCTCAAACTCCTTGAGCATCGCAAGAGCTGCAGTCCTTTTCATCACTGGACAACCCCCCCGGAGCCAACATAGTATCGGCCCTTGCCGAGGATGGTTGATTGTGCATCCATTCGCCGACCAGTCAATCCGAAAGCCATGTTGTACCAACAAGCTCAATGGAATGATCGGCTCAACCTCGTCTAAAGACAGCAATGTGCTGCATCCCTCCTTTCGAAACAGCGTGGTCGACCCATGAGCAAGCTCCACCTGAACCGGAATAAGGTGGTCCTTCTCCCCGACCTCCGCCATCCTCAGTGGATGAGTCGCACCTCCATCCAACAAGGCCACTTCGCCCTCCCTCTCGGCATCAGGCTGTATCCTGCAAATCTGCCTCAGCCTGCAAGCCTTGAGCGCTCTCAATGATTTGAGCAAACTTGTAGCTTCTGCTATCAATGCCGTCGCCGACTCTGCACTCCCCGCCGAAGCTTCTCCACCACCTGCAACCTTCTCCCCCTCCCGACTCCTTGACACCTGCGTGCTCTTCAAGGACCCCGAAGTCTGTTGGGAAGAAGTCGTAGTGGCGTTCTCCTCCTTCGGCTTATCTGGAGCTTCCAGGTCACTTACTGGCGACTCCTTGGTGGGCATAGGATTCTTCACCTTTGCCACCTTCTTTGAATCCTTTTGATCTCGTTCACGTCGAGTGGGACACTCTCGCGACATGTGCCCTTCACCGCTGCAAACAAAACACCGATTCTGCTTGTTGATGCCTTCCCACGAATGCCCATAGGTGCATTGATCCCCCCTCCTGCAGCCCTGAGCAGACCCCCAGAACTTGCAAGAGGCCTTTTGCTTCTCTTCTGTGGAGCTCGTGGTGTTGAATGCCGCCACTTTTGGAGCTGTCCCTCCAGCTGTGGACATGTTCACATTCGCACCTGCTGCAGGCGTCTTTGAAGAGCCAGTCATCAGCGCCAGATCCTCAGCCTCCGCCTGCACATACTCTGCATACTCCATGATGGATTCCATCGTCGGACACTGATCCACTGCAAGATCTTGCCTTGCTGTTGCCATTCTGAATGAGACCTGAGCGCCACCATGTCGACCCAGGGCTTCTGTGACCCTGTTCAGCACTTGCACCAGCACCAAAGGGTCCGGTGTAGTCAGGCCCAACTCCTGTGCACGCTGGATCCATCGCCTCCATTGGCGAATTCCAGACAAAACGTCTGCCACCCCATTGCCCACCTTCAGCTCGGTGATGCTCTTGAGGAGCGCAGTTCTCTCAGCTGAACCCCCTGGTTGAAAAATGGTGTACAGCCGAAACAGAATTCCGAGGCAGCTCACCTTTCTAGAGGCGATGACATCCCTTCGAACTTGATCGGGAAGAACCCCCAATAGGATAGTCACTCCCCGGTGCTCAACTCGTTCATAACTGGGGTGCAAAGGCCGATCAACCTTAAGCCTTAGCCTCTCCAGCGGCTTCAGCTTCAGCCAAGTCTCATACAGCGCCTCCGCCTCCATGACGTTTGCTTGCCACCAACCCCTCGCAGAGGATGACAGGTTCGACATAAGAGGCATTGCCACCGTCAGCCAATCGCCGAAAGCCAGCGAAGCACCATCGCTGCCAGGAGATGGTAGAGGTGGTAACTCCAAGCTTCTAAACACTTCATTCACGGTCCCCTGAGGCGGTTCAGACCTGTTCAACGGACCCTCACACACACCCTCCTTCAGCAACCCTGGTGGACGCTCAAGACCATGTGGTTGAGACCCTCGGCCATCGCCACGAGTCGATTCACCCCCGTTGCCTCCTCCGCCCGGTCCCATCACCCTGACCGTTGACCGCCCAGGCTCTCGGTCAGCACTTGGCACCGACTCGAAGGATGATGACTCTGCTCCACCAGTGGCCTTCTTGATCTCCTTTGCAAAGAGATTCTCGGCTTCCCTGAGTACCTTCTCCCTGATGGCCTCCACATCAACATAGTTTGGCGACCTTCTGACTTCCCCTTGCAGCATCCCCTCAGGCACCACCCCACTTTCACTAGGATGAGCTCGTGCTTGTGTGCTCCAAAAAGGGTTGACATTCACCCCACTCATTGGGGGAGGGGTAGCCATGGGATAAGGTTCCAGAACCCTCGGTTGTGGTCCCAATTCCATCGTGGGGCCATAGCTCAAAGGTCCTCCTCGGGGTGGAATTGGACACTGCGGCGATCCAAAGACACTCCCATGCCCAGCATGAACTCCAGGACCGGTACCGGCTAGATGTCCCAGATCGTGGTGTTGAAGTAGGGGTGCAAGTAGCCCTTGACCTTGAGGATTTCCACCAAAGGCTCGCTGCAAAACATCTAAGGACTGCCTGACCGAGTCCAGCAGTCCCGGTGCTGACTCAGCCGTGACTTGTCCTGGCCCATTTGGCTGAGCCACCCGACCTTGTGGTTCTCTGCTCGGCCTTCTCACCGAGGATGTAGTTGCCGCTTGCCCACCCTGTTCCGGAGCTGCAGCCAGCCTTCTAACCGCTGCCGTCCTCGCCGGCACCGATGCCGCTCTGCCTTCTCGCTCCTCCAGCAGCGCTTGCAGGCGCTCATCCGCCGCCCCCACTCGAAGCCGACCCTCCCGATCTCCAGGATCATGGAGACGCTCTCCTTCGCGGGAGGATCGTCTCCGCCGCTGCCGCACGAAGTCGCTCATGGCGGCCAACGACCCTGATCCACAGGGGTGGACTTCAAAGGGAAAAACAGGTCGTTGGGCTCATAACCTGAGTTTCCAAAAACGGACGATGCTTTTCTTGAGCCATGAACAGCGTTTGTTGGTGCTAAGTGGTGTGTGTCACACCTAGGATCACATCAAGTGAAAATGCAGGGATTCACAAAAACAAAGGCATGGCTCTTGTGGCTCTTGTGGACTTCCCTGCACATGGCTCTTGTAGACTTCCCTGCACATCCAAAGCTCGGGACTTCTTCGCAACCCAAAAGTCTCACGCAACCCTGGAAAAGAAAAGAGAAGGTTGAAGGCAACATGCAGTGGCGCAAGCTTCCTCCTCTCCCAAAACATCCAACAAAAATATCCACAACGACCCGTGCCGCAACGACCGGGCTCCTCCAAACCCGCCCCCGAATCGTTGTTCTTGCTCTCTCCTGGAGCATGTCCGTTCAAACCACCAAGCCAGGCGTCGCGTTTTTGCTCCTCGGCCTTCAGGGTCTCCGCCTTCCGCGCGCCCAGGACCCCTGGCTGCGAGCGTTTGCTCCAGCTGCTGCCGGGCGTGATGATGGTGGGTCGCAAGGAGCTGCCGAAGCGCTCGAACTGGGCATCCTCGGGCGTCTGGACCCGCCCGTGACGCCGGGAGTGGGTCGGGTTCATGGTAAACACCAGTGATCCAGTGCCGCCTGTACGATGCTGACGCACAGGCGGCAAGGCAGACGTTGATTCCAAGATTCAAGGAAAAGGTTATGTAAGGGATCACATCCAGATGGGGTGATGGGATAGAGGCTTCACCTTTTGTGAGATCTGGGGGTTCAACGGGATAGACAGGCTCTGAGGGGTGGCTTGCCATGTAGACCTATTGGACAGCTTCGGAATCCTTGGAAGCGTACAGAATGCCATGCGTATAATACACAATACAAGGTCACACGTGTTCTGTATATATTCCTAACATGTTGGCAACTAGAATTCAAAGTAAGGTGAAGTAAGTCCTTCAAACAGTGAAACAGCGGTTCCCACTCCAAGTTCTACGCCACGGCTCGGTTGAAGGCTGGTAATTGCGGACTGTTTAATGTGATTACATGTGATTACCTTCTTGATGAAGCTGGCTTCAGACACCAGTAGGAATGTCCATCTTCAAGAGAGTCTCAGTCTACCGTCTATCAACTTCATCACCATCTAAGAGAAAAATATAGAAAAATAATACTTGTCCTCACCATAATTCGTCGCCAAGAATCCAGTTCTTTGGGCACTCCACTGTAATCCCGCTGCGAGCTCTTGGACACCATCTCAGACTCCCCGACGGGCCCAACTGGCACCGGTTGGCCGGTCTCGACCGGCGCCTAGGTCCGGTCTGCCGGCGCGGCACAGACAGAGCTCCAGCTGGGCAAATACATTGGTTTCAGAGGACTGGCACCCCAAGAGGTCTTGAAAAGATGGGGGTCCATATGGGTCCATATAAACCACGAAACTTGGACATTTGTGCCATCTACTCTCAACCCACTAGAAAGCAGAGTTCAAGGGCACTGCTACCTGAGCCAACAGAACGTGGGGTGTTCCAGCAAACCCATCCAACTATCAATTCAGTAGGTGCTTGGGCAAAGGTTAAACCCTACTGCTCCTAGGTCCTAGCGACGTTGCACATCCTGCAAAACCCTCCAAACCGCTTAACTTGGTTTGACATGATTCAATTTCATTGACCCAATGGATGTCCAACGACCTCTCCTGTGCCTCCCTAGTCGGTCAATCCCCACAAACCCTCAAACGCTTCATGTGCGAAATCAGCTGAGTCTCTTCCACTTGCGAACCATCCTCAATTCGTGTGATCATCTCCTCACCCGACACACACGAGGACATCGTGCCTCAGTGGCGTAGCCGGGCCTGTTCCGCCGGGCACGGTGGGGACGACCTGCAAAGGATTGGGTCAACCTCTTTGGGATTGGTCGGTGCCTCGGTCTTTCACCATATGGAACCATATGGAGCGAACCAGGGTTGTTGTTCCACCAAAGGATGAGAACCTGTGTTTAAAGATCATATACAGTACATATACTGTAGGGCTATGCAGCTATCCTGATATGAAGATATACAGTTCTTTTGGTTCTTTTGGATTAAGGAACCACTTCTATTAGTTGGCCCAACTTTCTTCCTGCAATACGCAACACCTTTCCAAATACCTTCTGGCCAATGTACCTGGCACAGTGAATTTCGGGCTACCCAGAATCACCCTCCAAACATGAAGAGATGTCGTCAATTGAGTCTTTGGTCTCCCTCCCTGACTGGCAGCCACCCCATGATTTGGGACTTACCCTAACACATCTGTGCAAAATCCTTCCAACAGCTCATCCATATTGAATATCTTCGAATGTTTTGGAACTTATGGTAATTCTGTTGACTTTTGACAGTACAGCAGCAATCCTGAAGTATGTGCCGTCAGACTCCACCAAACCCGTTTCAGAGGGAAAATGTTGTCGTTCACGGGCCAGAACTCCACCGAACCCCCTGAAACCATGAATCAATTGGTGGCCACATGGTTGAACAGTTGAACACAAGCCCACTGCTTGGGGAGTGCGAAAAAGCAACGGTCCTTGGAGGTCCTCTAGTGTTTCACTCAGCATGGGGCCCGCAACAGCATGGCGCCTGCGCGCGAGAAAAGAGCGACGAGCCACGAAAGCGCTCGGCCGCCCCAGCGATGTTCGTCGCGACGGAAGGTTCGAATGAGCCGTGACCAAGTCGATCGTCAGCACCACCGAGAAACCGCGCGCTCGCGTCGGCGGGCGCCAACCCAGTCTTGACGGAGGGTCGGAAGGAACGCGGAGCTCCTTGGGGCAGGCGTTTCTGGGGTTGAGTGGGGCAAAAATGTCCTTCTACGGAATTTCAACGGATTTGGATCATGGGAATCCCTGTGAGAAAACATCAACGAATTTCAATGGCCGATAGGTACTGCAAACAGGGTGCTGGGAGGTCACCATGGTCACCTTATCCGCTTGTCACACAAGCAAATACTTATACATATATATATATATCGAGAGCGGGTGTGGGTGGTAATGTAAAAGTTGCCTTTAGACGTTTATATAAAAACATCGTAAAGCTTTACGCACATGTTTGTCGAAAATTAGTTGGAAACAAAAGGTTTAAAAGGAATAGGGGTTTCCAAGGGAACTACTAGGAATCAAATGCAAATTGAATTTGAAAGGAAATTAACAGTAAAAAAGAGTTTAACATTGAAATCAAATGATGAAAAAATCAAAAGCGTAGACATTATTGCAGGGAGTACTATCAATAATAGAATCATACTTCCCAAACCAAGAGCAAACAATGTTTGAAAGGGCAATATTGTTTAAACATGGAAAAGCGTAGGCATCACTCCAGGAGGCGCAATTGTCAAAAGCAAAAAGGGACAGATATTGTTATAGTGGATTATCATATTCACTACTGTGCGTAATAGATCCTTGCAACAAGTGCAAAGATTTTATCAGGGAGTTGACATCAATATATAGTAAAAGTTTAATACAAGTCATGGAAATAAAAGCAGGCTAAGTTGAACAAGAATTAAGAGGAACTTAGAGGGAACCAACAGACATAGAAAAGGATAGCAATTAAAAATCAACTGGAATCAAATCCCAAAGGAAGTCAAAAAGAGTTCGCAAGAAAACAGCTGTTATCACAAGGTATCTAAAATGATATCACGTTGAATCGAAAAGTGCTTGAATTAATTTAAACGAAAACCCCGAGGAATCAAAAGGAGCTCAAAAGGAATCAAAGTGAAACCACAAGGAAAACAATCAGAATTAAAATGGTTTCAAAACGAAATCAACTGGAATCAAAAGGAAATCAAAAGGAAAGCAATTAAAAACCAAAAAGGCTTTAAAGTATATCAACAAGAACCAAACCAACGCAACAGGAGTTTACGCGCAAGCCGTCTGGAACCAACATGGTGCTAACCGGAAATCATTTAAGGTCAAAAGGCGTTTTAAAGGGAATCAAGAAGAACAAGGAAGTTGAAAGGAAATCAAAGATCAGAGGTGGATACAGTATAGGGCCTAGGCCTGGTGGTTTTAAGTGCAAACTTCCAAGACTTGGGCCTGACATCAGATCCCAAACCTGGGGCTACAGGTCTCCAAAAAAATGCAGTCTGCAAAGTTTCAAGGTAAACAAAAAGGATAAAAACAAAATTCTCCTTGGGGTGCCCTCGAAAGAAAATCAGAAAATCAAAAATCATGGAAAATAAACCACAAAAGAAAAAAACATATATATTCCAAAAGTTTCCGCGGGGGAGAGCCGTTGTTGTTGTCGTTGCTGCTGTTGTTGTTGGTAGAAACAAAACCAGCTGCCCAACATAGTTGTCACGTGTTGCAAGTCAGGGATTTCGAAGGGACGCTGTTAGGGATAGGGTTGAAGGTTTGGAGAGATGTTAGTAGCTGGACTTCTTGCCGTTGCGGTGCTCAAGTCTTGGTTGGTCTGCTTCTTGTTTACAACGGGGCTGCAGATGTTCTTTCTAGGTGGGGTAGAGACAACAACATCTTTTGAGGGGGTGTCAAAAAACAACAACGGGGCTGCAGCTTTTGTCTCTAGGATGTGGTAGAGGTTCGAAGTAAAACTTTTACAGAGGCTTAGCTGATACTACTACTACTACTACTACTACTACTACTACTACTACTACTACTA